TTGAGTGCTATAGGTCTTACAAAAGCCTTTTATCTAAAATTAGCGTAAAAACTCTTAACTGTACATAAGCTCATTGATCTCTCCATTTTTCTTCTTAAAATAGGTCTCTGGTAATTCATCTTCATCGCCCAACTTTTTTTTTTTTCAATTATTTCAATGCAGTTATTTGGTATTGCTTTTTTCAACTCATGACATTGTCTTTGTATATTTGCTTTAACAACTCTTTTATACCCATCCTCCACAATTACTTTTAATGGTACAAATCCTTTTATTACTTCATATAATACATCTTTAACTTGTCTTAATCCTCCGTCCCACCATTCCTTAAAATATAAAACATTTCCTTCACTTAAAATTGTTGAATTCAGTAAAAGTGGTTGTTCTAGAATCTGCGCCCTTGCTTTTGGTATAATCAACAAATTTTCTAAAAATCTCCCTCATGATTCTAAGACCTCAACATAAAATTTTGGCAGACCTGCTATCATCCGTTTCTTCATCTTCATCCATAAAACATTACATCCCATATTAAAATGTCCACATTTCTTCAAATAATAATCCAACACACTTTTCCAAATCACACCCATTTTCCCTTCCAAAAACCTTTGAATAATCTTAATTGTTAATGCTTTCATTTTTAAAAAACTATCCAAAAGTCCCAGACCCCCTTCTTTTACCTCCCCAATCAAAGTATAATAAGCAATCTTGGCTCTTCTATTTCCCCACAAAAACTACATCAATTTTTTTATAGTATACTTCAGGCAACGCAGTTACACCTAACACATGCCAGACCTTTGACAACATTAAAGCATTTAAGATGAATACTTTCCCTTTTATCGTCAAATTCTAGCTTTCCAAAATCTCTGTCTTTTCTCAATTCCATTTAAAACTCTCTCCCAATTTAAAATATCTGCTTTATTAGAATCCATCCCCACCCAAATTCCCAAAATGTTTGTGTTCCTTTTCTTCTTTAAAGGGTATATGTTGTGTTATTTCTTTTACTCTTCCCACCCTCATGCTCAAACTTTTTCCAACATTAACCTTAGCTCCTGATGCTTTACAATATCACTCTAAAATCCCCAACGATGAAGTATCATCAGCGTATTGATACACAGCTTCTCTGTTGTCATTGTTTTCTATTTGTATCCCTTTAATGCTTCTATCTGATTTTATTGCCAATCCCAGTGGCTCAGCTTCCAGTGTGTATAATAAAGCAGTCAATGGACATCCTTGCCTTATTGATCTAGTTGGTTGAAGACATTCTGTTTAAAAAAAATTACATTTAATACAAGTTAAAATATCTGTATAAAATTTTTTAATCCATTTTCTAAAATTTTCCCCAAATCCAAACTCCTTAAGAATTGCAAATAAAAAATCATGCTCTACCCTGTCAAAAGCCTTCTCCAGATCTAAACCTATTAAAACCCCCCCTTTCTCTTTTTCTTTCATATAGTAGACAATTTAGCTTACCCAATTCACCTGTACCGCATGTTTTTTCGATTGTGGGGAAAACCGGAGAACCCAGAGGAAACCTACGCGAACACTGGGAGAACATGCAAACTCCACACAGAAATGCCAACTGACCAGGGCACAGTACTGTGTGTGTGTGTGTGTGTATGTATATATATAAAGCAGCTACTTTTTTTCAGCAAATTATGTACCCTTTAGCCCCTTCACAACCCTTTAAATGTTTATCTTGCATAAACTTTTTTTTTATTTATTTATTTATGTTTTTTTTATTAATTTAATTTTTATTTATTTACTTTTTTACGGTAAATACAAGTGTCATTACTATACGCGTTTTTTTTCCCTATATTTGTGTCTGCCTATTGTTGTAATTGTATTACATCTTGCATGTTTATGCATGTAAAGCCTACTTGGTTTGCATATTTTTTAGACAATTTAATAAAAATAAATTAATTAATAAAAACATAAAAATTAGATGTAGTATATAATCCCAAATCTTATTTTTGAAAAAGTCAGTGGTAAAGAGTTTTTTTTAAAGTGTGGCTTTAAGATTCATAAACTCAAATTAGGCTAAAAAAATTTCCTCTTTCAGTTTTTATTTGCCCACTTAATAATACTGGTTAGTAATAGTCATAAATATATACACACACACACATATAATATATATATATATATATATATATATATATATATATATATATATATATATATATATATATATACATACATACATACATACACACACACATATATATATTTACACACAATATATTAAAAAAAAAAATTATGAAATATGGAATGACCTATGGGGGGCATAGATTCCCTGTGTTACAACACGGTTTTTAATTATCAGCAGTTTGACCACAGAAAAAAATAATAATAATAATATAATTTTAATATGTATGAAAAGATAACCCTTTCATGATGATGCATGCAAAATATGTATTGCCTATTTAAAAATTATCTTAGAAAATGTACCTGTCATTTCTGAGCTGACATTATCCTTCTATTCAGATGGCAGTACTAAGAAATAAATGTTTATGGTCACATGGCCAAACTACCCAATCATGTTAGACCTGCTCTGAACTCATTTAGACATCTTAACTTTTCATTATATATGAACATGTGCTTTATAATAAGAGTTGCTTTTGAATACTACAGAAAAATATGCAAGCAAAAATTGTGGTCACAATTAGAGATGTCCCGATCTGGAAATTCGTCCGATATCAGTCCAAAAAACTATATCGGACTGCGTTAAAAATCTCAGATAAAAGCAGTCCGATACACTCTAAGCTCCGTTACAGCTATTCTGTTTAGCAACATCCAGAGCCAGCATGCAAAGCCCACGTGATCACAATACTGCTTGATAGCAAAGTCAATAGAAATCTATTGTGATGGTAGCACACGCTGACGCTATCAACAACAACACATGTCTATGGAACCAGATTAGTCTCCAAAGAAATTCACGCAAAAGACACGATGTACACATGTGTAGCCAAATTCACGTGCATAAAACTAAATTCACGTGCATAAAATATTTATATTCACAAAAAAATTTTACGAGCACAAAATAAAATTACATTTTTTATAAAATACGTTTCACAAATGCAAAACACCATTTGCAAATGTAAAAGTGTACAAAAAGTTTTAAATGTTTAAAACTTGCGAGTTCATCCTGGATGAGAATGTGCAAATCCTCTTTCATGTATGACTCCCCCTGGATACGTGTGTGTGTGTATTTTTGAGACTTTCCTGCCAGAGTCAGGGTAACTCGTACCTTTCAGCCAATCAGATGAGAGCTGTATTCAATGAAACCAACTCTGCGCTTCTTTTGCGCAGACTGTTCCTCTCCAGCATGGCGAACAGAGAAAGCAGCAGATGCAGTCGCACTTTTTTTTATTCATTTATTTATTTGACCATATCCTCACTCTTTTTATCCATTATTTTGACGCAGCTCCGCTTTTCTTATTGCAGCGCCTTTGTGGTCCAGTGGTCAGCACATTGGGTTACCATGCTCTTAGACCTGTGTTCCTGTGTTTTTTTCATTTTTATTGTTAAGACATATAAAACTGTAAGGTTGTTGAACATTTGAAGTTCTAAAGCAGCTGTTTTCTTGAAAAAGACGTGATAGTGTCATTAGAAACTGAATGAAACAGAAAAAAAAATAAAGATCCTCACCTGAGTAAATATCTTTTTTTTTCAGTTTCATTCAGTTTCTGATGAAACTATTACGTCTTTTTTAAGAAAACAGCTGCTTTAGAACTTCAAATGTTCAACAACCTTACAGTTTTATATGTATTAACAATAAAATTGAAGGAAAAAAGTACCAACTTATGTGAGGTTCGAACACGGGTCCAAGGACATGGTAACACAACGTGCTGACCACTGGACCACAATGGCTCTGTAATACTGATATGGCCGGAATGATACTTATGATAACCAAAAAGAGTGAGGATATGGTGAAACAAATAAATAAATGAAAAAAAGTGCGACTGCTGCTTTCTCCGTTCGCCATGCTGGAGAGAAACAGTCTGCACAAATGAAGCGCAGAGTTGGTTTCATTGAATACAGCTCTCATCTGATTGGCTGAAAGGTACGAGTTACCCTGACTCTGGCAGGAAAGTCTCAAAAATGCACACACACGTATCCAGGGGGAGTTGTACGTGAAAGAGGATTTGCACATTCTCATCCAGGATGAACTCGCAAGTTTTAAACATTCAAAACTTTTTGTCTTATACATTTGCAAATGGTGTTTTGCATTTGTGAAACGTATTTTATGAAAATGTATTTTTATTTTGTGCCCGTAAAATTTTTTTGTGAATATAAATAAATATTTTACGCACGTGAATTTGGTTTTATGCACGTGAATTTGGCTACACATGTGTACATCGTGTCTTTTGCGTGAATTTCTTTGGAGACTAATCTGGTTCCATACATGTCTAACGTTACTGGTTTATTTACTTCACGCCAAGCGATCTTTACATTGTTTTGTATATGCTGCTAAGCAACAAAAGGGACCGAATTGCGACGTAGCACACATCGTGCGAGCCTTAATTCCGTCATGGCATGTCTTGGTGCATCCAATGTACCTAATTCAACACCAGCGCTTCCCACACATAAGACTACTTCAGCGGCCCGGTTCTGTGTGCGTGAGAAAAGTCTCCGCCACAGACTCGGGGGCTCTGCTGCTGCAGACCCACAGAGACGCGCTGGACACCTGCTCTGACTTTAACTTTGAGAAGAGTACACGCAGAAAAAAAAAGCCTTTTACTAAATAGACTGATCCAGCTCATTATTTAGGGTGAAAATACATTGTCTTTTTCCCGGACATGTCCTCTATTTGCGCCTTAAAAATGCATTCAGCCAGGATTTCTAAATCGCCTATTATGTCCCGGATTCTGCTTTCTTTAGCTGCGTTTCTACATTATTACAAGCAAACAGTGGCCGGTGAATCTCAATCTCTCAGCAGCACCAAGACTAGAGAGGGAGCAGATTTGACCTGTCAGTGGTGCACATGGATAGTAGGAGTGAAATAGTGGATTTATTATTCTTTATTTTATTTTTTACTTGAACACTCTAAAAGGAAACGTGTCATGTAAAATGCTAAACATTTTTGCTGTTTTCATTGTCTGTTAAATAAGAATAAGAAATCATTCTGTTGCTGATGGCCATTACAGTTTAAAAGAAAGAATGATATTACTTTTGGGGCAGAAGGAACATTTAATTAGAGACATTCTCATGTTTAACTCTTCGTTAAAAAGCCCAGAAAGATAAAGTGCTCTGATAAACAGTGTCAGGTTTGCACATCAGTTCGCAGTTCTGTCTGTCTTTACATTGTCAATTTTTTTCGATGTGGACAGTAGGGTGGAATCTGTGCAATATATTATGTAAATATAATGAATTTTCATAAATAAAATATTCTTAAAAGTCATATTATTGTATGTGCTGTGGAGAAAAGGTGTGTTTCAATCCAGCTTCTGCAAGTATAGTTATGTTAAAGATAATATGTGCAATATATATTATTATAAAATTAATAATGTTTGGGAACATTGATACAGCCATAATGTTCTTATGATACAAACAAAGATTAAATAGATCTGGTCATGAAAATGTTTGTACTAACCATACTGCACATTTTTATTAATTAACAATAACTTATTTCTGGAGCCCAGCTTGAAAGATATTTTGCAGCTCAACTGGAACAAAAATTCACCAAAAAGCTGTGTTTGAAATCGAAACTTTGGACACTGAACCTTTAGCAGTTGTTCAATTAACAATATTTTTTTCATATGTTCCTGCTCTCAGCTGTTTCTACGATTTTATGATTAAAAAAAATGTATAACTGAAATGACCTTTAATTAGCATTTTGCACTTTAAAAATGTATTTTTGTTTATTCAATTAAGATATTTTATAAAATTAAAAAAGTAAAGTATTTATGATTTTTGCTGATATCGGATATATATCGGTATCGGTTCGTACTGAAGGCTGCAATATCGGTATCGTATCGGAAGTTAAAATTTTGTATCAGGACATCCCTACACGAGAAAATGTTTTGCTGCATTCATGTAATGTGTGCAACTTTTTGTCCAATTCTGTAGACACATCAGATTTCAGATGTACAGTTTCTCTCCAGTGTGAATCCTCTTTTGTGTGATTCAGAAGTGTTCACTGATTAAACCTCTTGTCACAGTGTGAACACTTGTATGGTCTCTCAAGTGTAAAACATCTGGTGCAGTTTCAATTTTGTAATAAAAGTCTTCTCACATTCAAAACACATATACTCTTTCACACCAGTGTGGATCTTCATGTGTTCATTAAGGTTTGCTGATCGGTTAAAACTCTTCTTACACTGAGTGAATGTCAATGGTTTCTTCCCAGTGTGGGTCTTCATGCGTTTATTAAGGTCTGAGGATGTGCTGAAACTCATCCCACACCGAAGCTGCGGTCACAATAGAGTTTGAGCATGCAAAATTCTGTTGTACGGCGTTGCGAAAAGGAGCGGGAACAAACAAGATGATTAGACATTTTAAAAAGTGAGCGATTGGTACATTTTTTTAAATTTCGGTCCAGAGAGGTCATGTTTTGATCTTCGATTGGTCTCACACAGTCAAGTGATGCGATTTCGCAGGTCAGAGTCCGTCAGAGTTTCGTAGGTCATGGTTTCTCTCCGTTGTGGCTTACCATGTGTAGATTAAGGCATGATGATTGGCTGAAAATCTTCCCACACTGAGTGCATGCGTATGGTTTCTCTCCAGTGTGTTTCCTCATGTGTAGATTAAGGTTTGATGAGCAGGTAAAACTCTTCTCACACTCAGTGCAAGTGAATGATTTCTCTCCGGTATGGATCCTCATGTGTAGATTAAGGTGTTCTGATCGGTTGAAACTCTTCCCACACTGAGTGCATGTGAATGGTTTCTCTCCAGTGTGGATCCTCATGTGCTTATTAAGAGATGATGATTGGCTGAAACTCTTCCCACACTGAGTGCATGTGAATGGTTTCTCTCCAGTGTGGCTCCTCATGTGTAGATTAAGGGATGATGATATCCTAAAACTCTTCTCACACTGAGTGCACGTGAATGGTTTTTCTCCAGTGTGGATCATCATGTGTTTACTAAGGTTTGATGAGCAGTTGAAACTCTTCCCACACCGAGTGCATGTAAATGGTTTTTCTCCAGTGTGGATCCTCATGTGTAGATTAAGGGATGATGATAAGCTAAAACTCTTCCCACACAGAGTGCATGTGAATGGTTTCTCTCCAGTGTGGATCCTCATGTGTTGATTAAGGGATGATGATTTGCTGAAACTCTTCCCACACTGAGTGCATGTAAATGGTTTCTCTCCTGTGTGGATGCTCATGTGAATCTTAAGTTTGCTTTTGCTTCCCAAAATCTTTCCACACTGAGTGCAAGTGAAACGATTCCCGTCTCTCCTTTTCAAAATACCATCAGTCTGTAAATGAGTTTTGTCCTCAATTTTAACATGATGTTCCTCCTCTTTACTCCCCTCCTTCTCTCCAATTAGGTCTGAAATAAATAAACATTAGTTTTCATTAAGTCTTAAAAACTCTCATCAAAACACACACACACTGTAACTTTGATGCACATTAAATGTAAAATAAATCAGATCATAGTTTGTTTGGTCCATTAACCTGTACACATTTAAGCAGATTCCAATCATCTTCATTTATCTAGTGCTTTTACAATGTAAATTGTGTCAAAGACACTTAACATAGAAGTTATAGTAAATTGAAACCGTGTCAGTCCAGTTTTCCAAGTTTCTCATAAAAGTAATTTTGGTCATATTAATAAGACACAGATTTGAAAGCTGTTTGTAGCTGATGCTGATTGGTCAGCTTGTAATGTTGTTTATTGTTTTGAATTTCATTATTTGAATGTGTATTGGTATATGTTTGTTACTAATTTCTTTGTTTCCAGTTGGCTTGAGTGGAAAGTCACATGATTCTCATTGATTGATTTAACCTGCAAGAGTTTGTATGGTCACTCAGGATAGTGAGATCTCAATGCAAGCACCTGTTTAATGCTCCTGCTTATTCTACAGCTGGTTATCAGGCCAACACAGTAAACTAAACATTGTTTTATATATTATTAGTTTATTTTGATGTCCTTTTGATTTTGTGTTTGTGTGAAACATTTGGTTTGTTTATTTGTTTATCTTTTAGTCTTCACGGTGTTCATTAAATGAAACGCATGGTGGACATCAGTATTTGGAAGCGTGGACTGTTTAATAACCGGCGGGTAGTTACACTGTTAATGGCCTATTTTTATTTGTATATATTTATAATTACAACAAAATGACAGGGAATACTTGTTCATTCTGTGCCTGACTGGTAAACGCATCAGAAAAAAAAAAGTTCTGAGGTAACAGCTGAACAAACAGCTGAATATTTACCTCTCAGACATGAGACATATCTGTACAACATCTGCATAAAGGCTGGAATGTGCACCTTTCTAAAGATGTATAGTAACGAAGTAGAACTACTTCACTACTGTACTTAAGTACTAAAAGGCAGTATCTGTACTTTACTGGAGTATTGTATTTTTCTCCTACTTACACTTTTACTTAAGTACATATTTTCAATAAGTTTAATACTTTTACTCTGATAAACTTTTTATGTGCTGCATCGTTACTCGTTACTAGCGGTGTCAAAATGATCGATATTGGTTCAGTAATAGATCATAACCGGTTATTACATACTAACGTCATTCATCTCCTATGCGCGATGTCGCAATACTAGGACAGAGGCAAGGGTGAGTGAAAGCTGCACAGCACACGAGCCACTATTTCACTATACAGAGAAATGCTGTAAAACTTCATTTCTGCCTCTCTCTCACTTTGTACATTTGACCTGCTGCGCTGGCTTTCCTCTCCTCTTGTCTGTTTAAGCGATAATATTGGATCCGGACACAATCGTGCCTTTAGTGCGAGTTTTCTCCACTGTGTCTATTACCTGTGATAACTGCGTATTATTTATATTAAAGTACTGGCACTAGGGATGTAACAATATTGTAAATACCGTCATAGTAATTTTTTTCAATATTACTGTAGGCGCATGACTCAATAAAACTATATTTCTGAGAAAAGTTTGCTTAGGCAAATGAAGCGAATGGGAGGTAGCGGGAACTACAATTCCCATCAGCCTAGGCATGGCCATCATCCTTTCTGGTCTGTTGTTACTACAGATCCAGTAACGCGGAGATGGAGTGTGTTGCTAGTAGAGGGGAAGAAAAAGAGCAGGAAATGATCGAACCTAAAGCGGGTTTTAAATCGGATGTGTGGAAGCATTTCGGTTTCTTTCTAAAAAGATACGATAAAGGAGAAAAGGTGACAGACAAAGAAAAAAACAGTATGCAGGCACTGCCAGAATGTGGTAAAATATAAGTCGGGGAATACGACTACAAACAGTCATGGTGACTGCAGAACACAGCACACTTGTTAGATTGATGCAGACATTGACTTGTACCATAAAGAGACCTCTATCTCACTCATGGCTTGTCCTCTCAAGTGGTGGAGAGACAATGCACAACGTTACCCACTGCTGTCAACCTTGGCTAAATCATATCTCTCTGTCCCAGAAACCTCAGTCCCAAATGAGAGGTTTTTTTTTTTTTCTTCTGTTGCCGGGGACATGCCCAGAGATCCCAGCTTTTACCAGATTATAGTTATATGATAATTTTTCTTTAAAAACCCATCTCTATCTAAGTGAGTGAGTGATTAAATGGTGAATGTGATGAGTTTTCAACAATACTAAATTGAAACTTTATTTTTTTTTAATATGGTTTAATAGTTTTTTGTTATTAAAATTGAAAAATTGAAGTTCTTGTTTCGAAACTTACAGATAGATGGCTAATTTGTATGTCATTGATATGTTCAGTGCTAAGGTAAATAAACACTTTTGGTACTTTTTTCGAGTCTTAGTAGTTTTAAGTAGTTTTGTTTTTCCTGTAAATTATTCAATAAATACCGTACCGTGCCATTCATACCAAGGTATTATCGTACCATGAAATTCTGATACAGTTACATCCCTAACTGGCACTCTTGCTAATTGTATTAATATTTATCACTGAGGGGTTCATAATTATGTTTCAGTGTATTACGGTACTGTAGTGATGACATCATGTTGTTTACGTGTTTAACGTCTAGGGCTGCAACTAATGATTATTTTAATGATCAATTAATCTGTTGATTATTTTTTCGATTAATCGGATAAAAAAAAGCCCTTTCCAACCCTTTATTCAAAAAAGCTCATGCCTATAATAATAATAATAATAATAATAATAAACTGTTTTCAATCCAAATATGTAAATGTTTTTAAATGAAGATACTTACTAGACACATGAAATTCCATAAGAAATCACTTAACCTCAAACTTTAATGATAGTTTGCTTAAAACAAGCTAATTATTTGCCAATGGGGTGAGAAAATTTATCTTAATAAGATATAATCTCAAACAGCATCACTTCGTTTTCTCATGCTATTTTTCTTGTCTGGTCTTGATGTAATATTTTTTTAGATATATGAACTGGAAACGAGACAAAATGATTAAGAAAGAAAAGTTTTCTGCAGTGCAGCTATACATGACAACAGATGGAAAAATTAATGATCCAAAAAAGATAACATTCACACACTTGCTCATCATGCCATCAACTACCTGATATTCTAATTCACATAAACTCATTCATAAAAGCAGAACACGCAGGATTCAGCCGGTTCATTCAAAAGTTACTCCAAAAATACATGCAAGTAAGTGTTTGGTGAACTTAGAAAAGCCTAGATTCAACTTTATAGTTACTTTCACTATGTGTAATGTGTATCTGATATAAATAAAACACATCAGCAAATTATATTTCAATGGATTGTTAGACTTTCTTGTGTGTTTTACAAACTCTAAATGTATTGTTTTACTAGTACTTGTATGTATTTACATATCTAAAACATAAATGAAGTATTAGGCAGTTAAAATGCTGCATAATTGTGATAATATGACACGTTTCAGTGGAGTTAAGTTGGTTTTGTTTTCGTAAAAAAAAGCAGCACTTTTCCAACAGTCCCCTACTGAGAGCTCTCCTCAGCGCAAGCTCTTTGGCTCAGCGCATATTGCAACTGCTTAAACGGAGCAGTGCTCGTAATGTCGAGCAAAAAAATTAATAAAAAAGACAGCTGTGAAACATAACCTGCTTTGTCTTTTTGTGGGAAACACAGTTTAGATCTTTATAGGGTAAGAGTTTTTTGTGTTAATGCCGTCTATCAGTGTCTGGAATACCGAAAACGAAACCTGCTGAACCCCGCTGTCTTTCTCTAGCTCAGCGCCAGACACAAAGAAACCAGCACCAGGGACTTTGTAGAATTCTGTAGTGATTCTTCCGCATCATCCCTGTCTTCTTGAGGCGCTGAACTCTGTATCAGTGCGCAAGAGACGGAGAGAGGCCTTGTTCAGTCCGCTCCGCTCCATGTTCTTTTTTTTCTTATCAAATGTCTCCTGGTCGCGCAACACAACGAATCGATTATGTAATTTGTTGCCAACGCTTTTAATAATCTATTTTTATCGATTTAATCGATTCGTTGTTGCAGCTCTAGTCTCCACGTTATACTGTTGATAAACAATAGTGTTACCGTCTCGTGTTCATGCTGTACAGAGAGAGCATGTGAAAGTGAGTAATAAAAGACGCTGATGAAACGATTTGTTCTGTCTAGTGCTTAAGCTACGCACTCCAAGCTCAACAGGTTATGGGCCCCAGGCAGCGAGACTAGCGATCGTTTTCAAGAAAGCAAAGTTAACGCGACGTATTCAGGTGCAAAGTTAGCAAAGATGGTAAGCAGAGCGGGAGGATATCTAGCGCCGCAGTTTATGTTCGATGGATCAGAAGAAAAATTCGATCTATGGGAGACGAGATTTCTAGGATATTTAAACACTCTGAAGCTAAAAGAAACTATATTACATCAGCCTACTGATGCTGAAGCGGAGCAACTAGATGAGGACAGACGGCAGAACGCTGATTGTTATGCTGAACTGATCGATGATAAAAGCCTTTCACTGGTAAGACACAATGCTGCCAATGACAGGAGAAAAGCCCTAAAAATACTGAAAGAGCATTATTCAGGCAAAAGTAAACCACGCATAATAAACATGTACACAGCATTGACTCAGCTGCACGAGTGACAGTGAGAGCGTTACAGACTATTTGATACGAGCAGAAAACAACTTTACAGCTCTAAGAAATGCTGGAGAATTAATGAGTGATGGACTACCCATAGCGATGGTTCTCCGAGGACTACCGGATTCGTTTAAGCCACTGGCCGTCCACATAACACAAAATGAAGACAATGTCATGTTTACAGTAAAGAAATAAAGTAAAGGAGACTCCGAGTTTATGAGGAGACAGAGAAAATGAAAGTTGCAACTACAGACAATGTGATGAAGACCTGCACGAGACAAGGGCAAAGCTTTTACAAACCCCACACAAAAGATAGAAAAGATGAAGATATACATATAATATGCTACAAATGTTTTTATTGTTTTTGTTTATTTTATATGGCACCAGTGCTCAAGGACGCTTTACAGACAGTAAAAAAACAAGAAAAGCAAAAACCTTAAGAAGGTAGAGAAAAGGGAGACTAATAATACAACTAATATTAATAACATAGCAATAACTCCTCTCACTCTAAACTTTACCTTTTAGAGCTTATTCTTGTTGGCGCAATATGGGTTTATTACATGTAGGCTATGAATCAGATTATGAAGAATGATTAAAAACATGCTTTTTCTTCGTTGCATCCTATCCGTAAGGTGTTTTATTTATTTATTTATTTATTTATTTATTTATTTATTTATTGAATTTTTTTAATAAAAGAAAAACAAACAAGCCCTACAAATAGCTTCATCCAAAGTATTGGTTCGCCTTTCTCGTTCGGCACGAATCCAAAATGTTCCCAAATTGGCAATGTAACAGGTTTTCCAACGAGTTTCATGGCTGAATTTGAACTCGCTGAATCGCCTTTAACATTATATTCATAAATGTAGTCCTTGGCAACATTTGTGACAAAAAAAAAGAAGCCCGGCACTCTTTTTTATGTCACTGGAAAACGACTGAATCAGCTGGTGTGCGCGAGTCATGTTGCTGTCATATTCAAGATCTGTGAAGTAATACAGCTCTGGATGTAACAACGACCACAAGTCTCCTTCATAATTAAAAGTTTGCCATAGTCGCCTTGACAACCCAAACACTGCTGTCACTCAACAGAAACCCTGCAGTGCTTTCATTTGATTGAAGAATAAAAAAGACGAGACTGAAGTAAAACACTTTTTTCCGCTCGAGCACACAGCACGCAACAGCAAAACACTCGCGGTCATTAGTAAACCATTTAACAGATGCCCCTTATGCAGCCAAACTTTAAAAATATATAAAGTATATTTTTTAATCGTTTAACTGATTCCATTAATCGGTTACAAATGCACTCTTTCGGTTAATGGTTAATCGGTTATTTTGAGCATCCCTATAATTAAACCGCATATGCAGGCTCTGAATTTTTTTCCCCTCACGGCCGCACACCGGAGATCCAGCATGGTGCCGGAATACTTTTCTGTTTGAAATTATATCTCATTAAGATTATTTTTTTACACAATTAGCAAATAATTTAACTTGTTTTAAGCAAACGATGACTTCATTTTTAGATGTATTTCTTTTTCAGAAAACAAGACATAATTTATTATGCTATTTCATGTGTCTTGTATAAATCTATCTAAAAATTTACATATTTGGATTGAAAACAGGACAAAACTAGTAAGTTTTTATTTTTATTATTGTTATTATTAATAATATTATAACAGCTCAAAGGTGAGCTTTTTTGAATAAAGGGTTGAAAATGAGTTTTTTTTTTATATCCGATTCATCAACTTATCAAAAAAATTATCGACAGATTAATCGATTATTAAAATAATCGTCAGTTTCAGCCCTAATATATACCTTTGCTATTAAGTGCCTATACAGTGAATTAAAATGGCATCAAATTACAGCAGGTGAATGTCAACATTACTTTGATTAAGCAAGAAATTAAGACTTAGCCTGAGAGTTAACCTGCCCTGGACAAGGTTTCCCAGCAGAGTTGCCAGAGTAACTGAGTTTGAACTATCGTAGATTTGATTTATGAAACTGATTCAGCCATTAATAAACCTGACATATCCAAAATAAGCCTGGCTTTTTCTCTAAGCTTGGTAAATGGAATAGGGCCCTGGTATAGCATGAGCAGCGTGGAATGTGATTACAGATAACCCCGGATTCTCTTCATCCAGGATTAGAATGACCCAGGGTTAACAATTTGAAGTGTGAAAAGCCCTAAAAATACTTAGCATCAGCTCTCAGGATTAACAGAGCACAATGACAAACAGCAACCATTGTCAATCATGTCATAGTTGTGACCTAATCTCATGCTTTTGTTTTAGAACTTCAGTTGCCTATTGGGGAAATGACCAGAAATAATGAATGGCAGAAAACAGTCACACTACTTGCTCTACAAACAAGTGTGTTCATGTCTATACATACAAAGAAAAATAATAAAATGAGAAAATATGACCTTGCAACATCAAGCAGCATTGGGCATGGGCCAGTTTAAGATTCTGACAGTATGGTAACCTAAAATAAATTTTCTTCTCAGAAACTTTTAAAATATTTTGGAGCACTAAACATGTCAGGCTAAATCATTCAAATGAATCACAGATTTCTTTACGATTTAAAACGGCATCTTTGGATATCTTTTCTGCAGGAGATACTGTTGTCCTAAAAAACTTAAACAAAACATAAAAAAGGTACAGCAGAAAATGTTGGCGGTTTTAAAACCTTGACTTTTCCAAACTGCGGTAAACCCTAAATATAGTTATCGCCCCATGCCTAAAGAGCATAACTCTGATTTTAGGATCTAAAAATTAATTCTTTAAAAAAAGTGTCAGGCAAAAAGATTCCAATGGCGCCGCCTGCTGGTACATAAAGAATATGGTCAATAATCTCAGACTGTTCAATGTTTCACTTGAGTGTCTATTTCATTCAGCGTATTTAATACTGGGGGTATCCACAATTTTTGACATACTTTAAACCAGGGTTACTGCAGGTTTTACCAAGTTAAATTTAAGGCTTTTCATGACATTTTTAAGACCATTATGAATGAAATTTTAGACTCATGAAGGTCTAAAGGCTAAATAACTTTTCAAATGACCCAGATGAAAAAAGATTTTTATTTGCCCCGTCCAAAAAAATATTATAAGTTAATACATTTAATAATACAATAATAAATTAATAATATTTTTAATATATTTTAGATATTACTTTAAAAAAATTAAATATTGTGTAAAAACAAGCAAGCTCTACTTTTATTCAAACATAAACGTTCTTCATAATAATAAAAAATGGACAAATGTTTTAAAAGTTTAAAAAACTACAATAAACTAAATCTATGTACAACAATCTGTCCAGGTTGATGTCCTCAGCAGTAAATACATGGAGATCGTTTAAACAAATGTTATTGTAAGGAAAATAATTAAAACAGATAAATTAGAGTGAAAATGACCTTTTTTAATAAAAAGTTTAAAGATTTATTTAGGTGGACTGTTGGTGATTGTGTGGGTTTTGGCCAGATTGGGTAACAAAACATGAACAAAGGAAAATGAAGACTTGTTTAAAAAAGATCTAAGACCTACAACACAATATGTCCGTAAATTTAAGACTTTTTAAGGCTTAAAATTTTGAGTCTTCTATGAGAATACTGTAGGTCAAATATCATCAGCTCAGTTAAACCTTTTTAAATTGATTGTATTTATTTATTTAATAAAGCGCCAGTGCTCAAGGACGCTTTACAAACAGTAGAAGAACAAGAAAAGCAATAACCTTAAGCAGGTAGAGAAAATGGCAGACTAATAATACAAAACAGAGAACAAGTGACAAAAGAAACTTATTTCTGTCTTTCAATGAGTGCTCGTGTGCATTTAGGAGAACTAGGCAGCACACTCAGGTTTGCAAGATGGATTTAATTTAGTATTCTTATTATTAAAATATATCTAAATGAGGATCAAATGACTGAGTTGGTGTTTGAGAATGAAATTCAACCTGTTTGTTCCTGCAGATCTTCCTGTTTGACTGTGAATGTTTCTTCAATCTTCACATCTTCACTCTCCTCTTTAATGAACGCCATCTTAATAACAGTGTGGAGATCAGTCACTTCAGCAGGAGTTTTTCTCTGTGTTTGGACACTTTATCCTGTTTAAAATGAACAAAACAATAAAAATGTCCTGTTTAAAATAAATAAAACAATGAAGAGAAACAAAATAACTTCTCTTTAACACTTGCTTTAACAGTTTCTATTAATGAGAGTAATTAACAAAAAGAGATCAGGTAAAACGTTTCTTTAAAACAGTGGTTCTCAAAGTGAGGGTCGGGACCCCCTGAGGGGTCATAAAGGTAAAGTTGGTTTTCTATTAACACATTCGTTCATTTAGCAGTCTCTATATTGTTTACCATGTTACTTTGAATATTCGATCGAAATTAGCATGCAAGTGTGACTTGAAAACAACATTAGCACTGTTTATTTGACTGTGAACAATGTTGTACTTTGATAGTCATTAGCTGCTATTATGATTTCCCTATTTAGAATTTGCAATGAATAAATTCTGAAATTATATTATTAAGGGGAATGTCTGAATATCTGAATATAAAACTAACTTTACTTCTATACATAATTGAGGTAAAGTTGGTTTTATATTTGGGTATTCAGACATTCCCCTTAATAATAAAATTTCCTAAAAGTAATCTTTGCAAACTCTAAATATGGAAATCCTATTAGCAGCTAATAATTACCAAAGGACAGCATTGTTTACAGTCAATTAGATAGTGCTAATGTTGTTTAGAAGTCATACTTGCATGCTAATTCTGACAGAATATTTTCAGTAACATGGTAAACAATACAGAGACTGCTAAATAAATGAATGTGGGGGGGGGGGGTCGCAGGTTACTGGCATTATAGATAAAGGTAGAGGTATAGATATAGGTAAAGTTGGTTTTATATTTGCACATTCAGACTTTCCCCTTAATAATATAATTTCATAAAAGTATTATTTGCAAACTCTAAATAGTGAAATCATATTAGCAGCCAATGACTATCAAAGTACAACATTTCTCATGGTCAAATAAACAGTGCTAATGTTGATTTCAAGTCATACTGGCAGGCTAATTCAGATCAAATATTCAAAGTAACATGGTAAACAATATAGAGTCTATAAATGAACAAATGTGTGAATATAAAACCAACTTTACCTCTATTTTAAAGCTCGCATTACACACTTTTCTGTTTCAAACAAAAGCCCTCGGTTACTGGGAATAAAATAGTACTACACTGTATAAAGGGTTAAAATAATATTTCCAACAGCAGGTACATAATTTAGCATCGGATGAAAAACCTGAAACTTTAATTAAATCGGGTTATATCCGTAAACATTTAAAAACACAAACCTTTCTCCAGTTGAATCAAAGCGCTGAAGCGGCGCCACCTGATGACGTCACACACCACGCCAAAATAAAAGTCTTTTTTTATAGCTTTTTTGCCACTTACTGTTGCAGTCATGACTTATTGATACATTTCTCCCTTGTTTTCACTCTATACTATTTCTGCTCTCTCTCTCTCTCTCTCTCTCTCTCTCTCACATTTCACATTTTAGGTGCTTTATGGGCATGACAAATAACTGTACATTCATATTGCATACGTACAAACAAGACAGTAGTGCAAACAAATATGGATATAAAATATAATACAGAAAAAACACAGAAATAAATAAAATAAAAATAGATTATTAAAAATAAAAAGATTGATAAAATAAAAAATATAAATAAAAATTAAAAGAGATTAGATCTCTCTCACAAAAACACACTTTAGTATTTAAAGTTGATCAAAGTTTTTAATCTAAACATTTTAAGACAATTTTGAGAAACTTTTTTTAATCCAGTTCATGATGACTTGCATGTCTACAACACATTACTTCCTATTAATATCTGAATCCAAATCTCATCCTCATAATTATGACCCCTTATTTTCTTTTCTATTTTTACAACTTTATAGGCCTATATAGTGTTTCTTATTGTTTCAAATGAATTGTCATCTCTTATTAGCTGTGTTCCACGTTTTCTGCCATTCTTTAGCAATATCTTCAGTAATAATATTTAATTTACCCTTACTACCTGTTTGAGTTTCTTCTGCTGAATGCAAATGAAGAGAATAGGCTATAGGGTCAAGAAGCAGCCACTACATGGTTCAACAGCTCCTACTTTGGGCATGGCTGCTTTTTTTCAACATTTTCTGGCACTCAAAATGTTCTTGGAACTCGATTACAATTGAACCACTAAAGCCACGTCACAGGTTTTGACAATGTTTTTGGTTACTTTTCCAGAAAAACCACTGTCAAAACCTTTGAGCATCTCTGGACTCTTGCTGTCTATGACAGATGAGGGAGCTCTCTGATTTCATCTAAAGTGTCTTCATTTGCGTTCTGAAGATGACCAAAGTTCTCAGGGGATTGAAACAAAAGGTAGAGGGACAATCGTTCTCGAGAGCCACATCACACTGCTTTTTTAAAATTTATTTATTAATTTTTTATTGCATTATCAACTGGCCATTACAACAAATAGAAATACAGAAACTGATACTCGTGTGATATTACTCATATATTCATTCATTTTCTTTATAGCTTAGTCCTTTTATTAATCAGGGGTCACCATAGTGGAATGAACTGCCAATTTATCCAGCAGCACATGCTTTACACAGCGGATGCCCTTCCAGCTGCAACCCGTTACTGGGAAACATGCACACTCATTCACACACACCGCATGTGTATGGACTTTGTGAAAACCAGAGCATCCGGAGGAAATGCACGCGAACACAGGGAGAACATGCAAACTCCACACAGAAATGCCAACTGACCCAGTTGAGGCTCGAACCAGCAACCTTCTTGCTGTGAGGCGATCGTGCGACCCACTGCAACACTGTGACGCCTCACATATGTGTAATTATTTGAGGTATTAAACTGGTATTGGTGAAGAACTATGGTTACTAAAAGGCACCATTCAGATGTAATGATCTGGGCAATCAAGCATGTATTGTTATAGACACTATGCTTATTTGTCTTAAGAGATATTAGGCAGGTCCTGTTCATGTAATTTGCTTTAGGCTATCAAGTTGGTATTGGCATGAACAGCTATACCTGTTAACAGGTTTCATATATGTAAAACGATCCTATTCAGTTAATGGTCTGGCCTATTAGCCAGCTATTAATAAAGATGAATGCACATGATGATGAGCCATTTATTTAAATGAATATGTGACACAGATATTTAAATTTCATTGTTGCAAACACGTTACAGGAGTAAGTGCAGTTGTTGTTTTATGTCATGTTCACCACTGTGATTACACCATAGTCAAAAAGAAGTCTGAGAAATGCTGTAGTTGATGTAGGTGGAGCAGGTTAATCACATTAAAAGTTCTGCATTGTGTAGATATGAAAGTGAACTCTTGTCATTAAATTACGCTGTATAAACTGCCTTTACAATAATTTAACTTGTGACGTAATTATTTTCTAATTATCAATATAAAGCTGCATGACAGATTTAATAGTGGACTCCACAAAGGTAAGACCAAAGCTTGAAATTGCATCACGTGAGTGCAAGAGACCAATAGAAGATCAAAACATGAGCTATATGGAGCAATCAGTCTCTTTTAGTATCGTCTAATCATATTGTTTTATCCCATCCTTTTTTGCTGCGCTGTACAAAATAATTTTGCAAGCACAAACTCTAGTGTGACCGCGGCCCAACTTGCTTTCAGATTAACTATACCCGGCTGCTATATATATGTATAGCAACAGGCGTTTCTGTCTGGAGTTTGCATGTTCTCTCTGCGTTCGCGTGGGTTTCCTCCGGGCACTACGGTTTCCCCCACAGTCCAAAGACATGCGGTACAGGTGAATTGGGTAGGCTAAATTGTCCGTAGTGTATGAGTGTGTGAATTTTTCCCAGAGATGGGTTGCGGCTGTAAGGGCATCCGCTGTGTAAAAACTTGCTGGATAAGTTGGCGGTTCATTCCGCTGTGGCGACCCCAGATTAATAAAGGGACTAAGCCGACAAGAAAATGAATGAATAAATAATATATATATATATATATATATATATATATATATATATATATATATATATATATATATATATATTTATATATATATATATATATATATATAGACATATATAAAGTTTCTGATTAAAAGTTGCTTTCTTGGTTTCTTTGTGTCGCTTGATTTGTGCCTGTACCATAACAGATCTCTCTTGTTGTGATATGTCAATTATCTTCTAAGGCCAAAAGTAGCAAAAAATGGACAGTATGTGATCGCTTTACTGTGTTAAAAAAGGTTTTGTCACAGAGTATCTTATTTATGCTTTTGTGAATGTCTATGCATATTTGTATGCACAAACACAAGTGATAATTAGAGGCAAAAACATCTTTGTTACATACCAGGTGAATAAGAGGCTTTCGAGAAAGCTGAGCTGCTCACACATGTTCTGTTCAACATAAAAACGAAGGAAAGAAAAAAAAAATTGGCACAGAAACAAGTTACATTTTGATCATAAAAATTTATAGACACTTTTGGAAAGAAATAATTGATCTGTTGAGTGTGTTGACAGTTTACAGGAAGCAGTAATGAGCTGCATGTGCTTTAGGAGAAGTAAAGGACTCTAAACTCACATAAAGAACAGGTTCAGTGATAAATAAATGACTAAAACATTGCTAATATTACTATATTGACTGAACTTAACACAAATAAAACCTCACTGTGAAGATAAGAAATTGTTTCTTTTAACGAATAATGATATATCACAGTATAATAGTATAAGACTTACATAACTATTATATGAGTGAATGTAGTTGTGTGTGTTGAGACATCAGTGTGGTTTAAGTCTTCAATGCTCATTTGCATCTTTAAACAAAAACCAGCTTGGAATAAAAAAACAATTAAAATGTGTTTCAAATCAAAATACCTCAACATAAGTGTATCAGCATTAACTACAAAATGCAGCAGCCAAAATAAAAAAAGCTTCCATCAATAGTCCTATAAAACAACAGCAACAAAACAAATGATGATGGCTAAAGTCAACTTA